CAACGTGTTCTCCTTCACCTACGTTTTTCTTTTTTACCTGCTGGTGAACACAAAGCAAACCCTCCTGCTCCACCAGGGAATCACAGTCCCCACCCTGAGCACACCTCTCCATTCACTAAAACCAGCATCACCGCCAAGTCACCGCACACCAGGCCATGAGAAGCGCAAAACTGTGCTTACCCCCCTGCACCACCCGAGCACTGCTATTATTCCTCCTCTCTGGGGATGGGATCCCATGTGCGAGCCTCAGAGAGCACCTCAGTGACTCTGAGCATCATTATCAGCAGCGGGATGAGCTGCAGCTGGGATGCACTGGGGAGGCACGGTAATGCTCGCCCTAATCTCCGCATTCATCTCACCGGCCCTCGCTAGGAAGTTTAAGTACATTTAGTGGGGATTCTTCAGCTCCTGGAAGGTAGGAAGATGACTATGAGGCTTGACGTCCCAGCTAATTAACTTGGGGTTGGAAAAAAAAATCTTCTTATCGACTTAACTTGGAGATACTCTCTTTGTTTTTAAGCCTGCAGAATACCTTCTCTTTAAAATGCTCAATGCACACAGCTCTGCAGCGTGGAATGCATTATTTTTAACAAGGACCTCTTTTATCTTGGACCGAAACTTGCAAACATTTGATTTAATAATTTAAAAAAAAAAAGAACAAAAAATATTTAAAGAATCAGTTGAATGATGGTCTCTGGGCTGTGCTTTGCAAGAGGCTACAAAATCCGTGCGCCTTTCTTCTGTCCTTAAAAATCCAGGGATGCAAATGCCTGCACCAGCTGGAAGCGAACCCACAAACACACACACATCCCCTACATCTAAAAGGAGTTAAAAAAAAAAACCCACATCTTTTCGTTTGAATGGGAGAACGTCAGGGCTGGGAGACAGCGCCTGAATCTGTGCATGTGAGCACTGCATTCAGTTCTTCCAAGGGGAGCACAGAAGTGAGCAACTTCGGCACCTTCCCTGCTCTGAGTTCCTCCGTGTGGAAATCTCTCACCAATTGCAGTGAGCACTTTTAAATCCTCACCATATTCCCAACAGACAGAACAGTGGCATGATGGACCAAGCTTTTTTTTTTTTCCTCCCTCTTTTTTAAAGTACACATATGATGATGCATCATAGTTATAAACAGATGGTATTTGGCCTCCTTCCTATTCTCAACATTTGGAATTCCTAAACTATGTGAATTAAACAATAATATTTTATAAACATACAAGGGATTTTGCTCACTGCTTTGTTAACATAGAAATTATACAATGCTGACATTTATTTAAATTTTAAAAAGTAAACAAGAGTGTGTATTGAATTAAAGCAAACTAAAATCAACAGAAAGAAATATGTTCTGCGCACACGTTACCTACAACGGCACGGGCCTTTTAGGGGAGCCGTAATGGGATGAGGCACAAATTGTAGCTTAGACAGTCTGAGCCTTTGTGCTCGCCTAACGCCTCGCTGTAAACAACGGATCTTCGCACCATACTTGGCATGCTGGCCATCAGCTGTGCATTGGCTGCCTAGCCTGCCATGATGGAGTTAAAAGAAGTTCCCTTTGCCCGGCGTTCCTAGGAGTGAAAGTGTGTTTGCAATTTGAGTACCAACTGGATCCAGTCTAACACTTGTACTCAGGATGAGAAACATGCAGCGATACCAAAATTTGGGGGAATGGGAGGGCTCCCGCCAGGAGAAAGTGCTGGTTCTGAAGGCAGGATTCTGCCCGCTCGGTTTCCTCTTTCCTCTGCGTTAACCCCTTTTTGGGCGCCTCTCGAATGCGAAGAGCACTTCGGTTTTAATCACTATTCCCAGGTCTGCAAAGAGGCTCTGTGATGAATAAATAATGAATCGGAGATTTTAATCAGCGTTACGATTTTTGAAAAGCCTAATTATCATTGTTTACAGACATGCCTTCCTGACGATTTCCTTGTTTTGCTTGCAAAGCTCAAAGGGTTAAGCCTCCGCATGCAGCCCTCCCTTTCCTCCTCGCCCGCACTCCGCTGCTGTTTTGAGTTGGGTTTTGGGGGGCATTGGAGGTAGTTTGGGGCATGTGTGGGGCTGGGTTGCCCAACTCAAGCCGTGGGCAGTGCTCTGGTCCTGGGGTACCTGGGCAGCATAGAAGGACTGCGTTTGGACCAGACCGTACTGAGAGCTGCCACCAAAGGAGGCGAATTTCAAACACGAGCAGCACAGGGAAATAATGATGAGTGGCAGGAGAGAGGTGGGGGACCGGGATGCATGGAGCTGTGTGGAGCTCACCACTAGCATCAGCCCCTGCCTCACGCTAAGCCCACTATAATAATAATAATTATTATTATTTCCTTATTTTTTTCTTTAGCTTCCATCGGTCCCATTTCATCTCTCTCTGTCCCCATCACCATCCACTGAGTCCCAGTGCCAGCACCACATTCCTGATGCCTATGCTCTGCTCCAACAGCCGCTGTCCCCCTTCCTCCTCCTTCTCCTCCTCCTCCTCCTCCCGCTGCCGCTTGCTGCCTCCACACCGGCTGTGTGCTAAGTTGCAGCACAGTTCCATAGCAGTTGATTATCAGTTTCCAGCAACAGCTGTGTATATTCGTTCAGAATGTAAAGAAATATCAGAAGATAATGCAGCATTGCTATTTATTACTCTGTAATTAAAGTTCTGACAGTGTTTCTATTATAAAACCTTATTTGCAAGGGTTCATAACTCAGAGGCAAAATTTTCCTTCAAGATGAAGCCTGGCTTACCAGGCTGAATCATTTCAGAAGTATTCCAGTTAAATAAGGCTAGCCCATTAGAGGGTAACATTCTGAAGGACTTTCATTAAGGTGCTCATTTATATCTGCAAATAAAGAAATGCCTACTCCCCTCCATCAAGGACAGAGAAGAGGAAAATATTTTTGCAAAATCAGGGGTTCATGGAAATGTTTCAATATAATTCTCGAGGAAATTATTCCCATGAAAGCAATTTGTTTGAAAGAAAATGCCCCCTGGTCCTTTCCACACAGGCTAGTCCCGGGCTAGTGGATGAGAACCAAACTTAAAAGTGACTATGAGCTGAAATGGGACGGACTAATTCATTACAACTGTCCATACTGGAAGAAAAACAAAGCCCGAGTGGCTCGAGTGGGGAAAGGTGAATTTAATTTTCGAGGCCCTGTAACTTTTAATAATCTGAAGAACAATATGGGAGGTACATTCCGCCCTCCCAGTTATCCTGATATAAATTCATTCAAGATTTATATTGGTGTAATAGAGAAGCAGAATTTGCTCCACGGTTTCTAATGAACTGCTGGCTCGGTCTTTAAAAATGCAATTAGAAGAATCGAGCCTCCTAATTCAGAACAGCTTGGAGCGAAGGCAGAGGTCTGGGCGCTGCAGACACGGAGCAGGGCCGGCAGTGCTGCACGCTGCTCACCAAAATGCCCTCGTTATTTTAGGATTTTCTTTTCTATTACATGGAGAAAGGCAATTCTCATGTGGAATAAACCTGTGTTTCCTGTGATCTCAAATACTAAGACAAAGGGATTGTAGGATTAGTTGCCTGGGCTGTACTGATGCAGGAGAAAGGAGCTGTTTGGTCGGAGTCAGAAACCTGCTCTGCTTCAGCTGTGCCCACAGCTGCTGTGTCAACGCAGGTGAAACGTCGATAAATACAGGAGTAAGTCAAGGGCTGATTCTGTCATTTTACTTATAAGAACTGTTCTGCACATTCACAGATTACTCGTGTGTGCAGGAACAATGGGAAAGAGATCCCAATTTGTCACGGTGACCTTTTGAAGCCAGGGCTTCAAATGAAGCAGCACAGTGGCTGTCTGCATTTGGCTCCAGCAGCCAAAACTCCCGAGGTGGTTTTGCACCCGGGCTGGGGGATCCTCCATCAGGGAAATATTGCCCAGACCACCTGGATGAAGCCTAGCATCACCCCATTGACTGGGGACCTGTAGCCCAGGTACCAGGTCAACCTCCTGGGCCTGGGGGATGCAGCACACATGAAAGTATCCTTGGATGGGCCGTGAATATTCACTAGCAATGTAAAGAAGTTATCATCGTATAATGCAGCATTGCTATTTGTTACTCTACAATTAAAGTGTTTCTATTATAAAACCTTATTTGCAGGGGTTTGTAATTCTGAGGCAAAAAATTTCCATTCAGACAATGCTTCAGCCACAGCTAGGAATGGTTGAGTGTCACTGCTCAGTAACTGAAGCAAAGTAGGGCCCCAGCCTGGAGGAGGTGGACACCTCTAGTGACTGGGGCACACACTGCAGGCAGCAGGACTCCCTAAACCACTGAGCACTGAGTCTCACAGCACAGCATGTGCAGCCTGCTTGCCACCAGCCATGGCGTGAGGTCACAGCATCTCCTCTCTCCCTTGCATAAGTTTGGAGAGCGTCTCGCTGCAAAACCTGGAGGAATTCATCTTCTCTGTACCATGCCTCAGTTTCCCCAATAGTAAAAAAAAAAAAATAAAAAAATAAGTCACCTGATTTATTCTTGCTGGTGCAAGGAGTGTTAGCATTAGTGAAGACAAGAAGTCCTGTTACTTGGCTCTACCAAATGGGAGGACCGCACTCATGCATGTTTCCTTGAGAAGACCACATTCCATGTCTACAGCCAGGCTGGGCTTTGATCGAGCAGAAACAGAGAGAAACCAACATGTAAGACAAGTGATCACTGCAAAATTACAACTTGTCAGTGCCAGAAAACACCCGAACACTTAATCATATGCCATTGGATCTCCCTTGGGCTTCTGGGGAGGGGAGCTGGAACCGTACCTGTCTGTAGAGAGGTCTGGCCATCCTCTACATCATGATGATTTCCTGGGAATCTTCTTCCTGCTTCTTCCCAGAACACTGTCGAAAATCTTGGAATTGTCAGAACATTTTATTACCATTTGCAAAGCAGATTCGACTTCATCAGATAAAGACACAATTGCATTCATTGACTCTGACACAAGGATGTGCATACTGATAAACATACAGATAGATGTACACACTTATACATGAATGAGATATGCTAATTAAAAATTGCAGTGGGCACTTTATTAAAAATTTATTGTACAATCTCCATCTTCAAAACATTTTACATCAACAAATATAGAAGCTTGACTGCTGGAATCATAAGTGATTTATCTTTAAAAGACTGTATTCGTAACGGGATGCAAAGATGCTTGATGAACGGCCGTTACATTCCAACTACTACTTTTTATTGGAAGTACTTTGGCTGTTATCTGTTTGTTCTCCATCCTTGAGAGAAATAAAACAAGTGTCTCAGCTTTCATTTTATCGGATAGATGGCACCACGTAGCATATTTCCCATGCTAGTTTGAATTACAGCTGTTTATCTTTCAGCTTTCTTTAAGATTAATTAAATGCAAATGTAACTCCGCGAATCATGGGATTACCTGCCAGACCCCTTATTAATACCTTCACTTAAAAACCCCTGTGCCAGAGAGTCATTAATTTGCAAAAAGAAAAGTGCTAAAGCAGCCCTTTGCCTACAAACAATTCTGAGATGGCTGCCCAATTAGTCCGGTAGCACTCGGATCCTCCTTTCAGGCCCTGTGGCCCTTTGAGGACACAATAAGGCTCCAATGATAACCTGGCAACCTAGGTAGAAACCCAGCCAAGTGTGAGCGTTTGAAGCTGCAGCTTGGCTGCCATCGTGTCGGCGAAAAGAAAGAATTCAGGCACCATGTCATCCAGTACAAAGGATAAAAACAGATTCAACCGGAAATTCAATGTGGCACCACATATGGGATACATGAGTGCGGTTATACAACAGGCCACATATTTTTTTTGAACAGTCTCCTGCATGTGATGCCGAGGACATGTGTAACCATCATAACGTCTCTAAGAATCTGTATTTAATTTGAGCTGGGGTGGTGGCAGGGATTGGAGATCTGAAGCCGCCACAGGTTTGTGGCAGATGGCTCTGTGTCAGCTATGACAAGCAGCCAGGCTCGGCTTCCTCTGCAGATTTTCTTTTCTCTCTGATCAGGTAAATATGGGCACACTCTGGAAACTTCCACAATTCTGCCTGAGGCTGCAAGTTTGTGACTTAGCCCCATCTGTCACAAATCTTCTTTCGGTTCTGCTGCGAGCAGAGACCTGAATTTACCACGGAGCGCTGCCCAGGAAAAGCCAGCCATCTCGCCCTACGAGGAAGAGAGCACATGGAGAAAACGTGAGCTGCTGGGACACAGAAGGGACCTCAACAGCCTTGGCAGCACCCACTCTTCCTCCACTCTGACCCCACTGCCACATGCCCAGGGTTGTCCCAGCGCTGTCCCAGCACGGCCCCGTATCCTAAAGAAAGATGCAGCTCATTTTCTGTATGAGTGATAACTCTGCAAAAGTCTGAGCACTCGTATTTTCAAGGAATAGAACGTGATTCAGTCAACAGTTCCTAAATATGCAGAGACAAAAATCATCATGAGTAGCAAAGTTTTCACATAAAGCAAGATCTTTGCATGAAGAGACATCACAGCGAGGTGTCAGTAGCACTGCAGTATCTGCTATGATATGACCAACTTTTCTGTCTCTTGTGTCCTACGAGCATGACAGAAATAATCAACATTTACGCTTGCCATCGTTAGACTTCAGGGTTAACATTCAGAATTCAGTAAGACCAGTTCATCCATTCAGACCTGCTGGTTCAGGATAGCTGCAGCTCAAACTCACTGTACAGATCAGGCACACATTTTATGCGTGTTCTTAAAATTACCTTAACAAAATCAAGAATTAAAAATTATTCTTCAGCACAAAAGCTGAGATTCGGTGTGCAAGAAAGCAGAGCAATTTACAGAGCCAAACTGTAACAGGTCAGCTTTACTCTGTGACCCAGCTCCTTCTTTCCGTGAGTATTAAGGAAGAATCAAGGTGGAAAGCAGCTTGTAGTAATTACTTTTTGAGCTCAACTTTCAGACTCCAACCACCTTTGGAAGCCACCATCAAAAGACAGCATTATTTTACATGAACTGGGTGCACTGTGAGGACCGAGTCAGAGCTATACAATACTCCTCAGAAGAGTATTTCCCTGAATGAACCTTTCTGAACAAACCACGGTTTCTATTATTGGCCTTTTAAAACTCATTTATTCTATCTTTAAACAAAACCATAAATGTTGGATGTGAATTATGCAAGATACCCTTCCACTGGGGAGGGAAGGTTCAGAACACATTGATCATCCACAACACTAGGAGAGCAGTTTCAGGCTTTCTTTCTGTAGGCAGTTTAGATACACTTTACTGATAACCCAAAAGTTTTCATGCTTTTTGCAACTCTTCTTTCGAAGTCATTCACATTTCCTTTGACTCATTTCTTCATCTACTCTTTCGCGGCGGCTACGGTTCGTCTGCCAGCTTTCATTTACTTTCTAAAACTAAACTGAAGCTATCTAATATGGTTATAATACACAGTTCAAAGTCCTGCTGCTTATGCTGAAAGATGCGCACACAACTGTTTTCTTCATGAATGCTTTCTTCCTGCTCCACAAGCATAGCCAACTTCCATGAACTGTAGGCCAGAATCTTCAGGGAGGTGGTGGAGTCTCCTTCTCTGGAGATGTTCAAGACCTGCCTGGATGCCTACCTGTGCGACCTGCTGTAGGGAACCTGCTTTGGCAAGGGGGTTGGACACGATGATCTCTAGAGGTCCCTTCCAACCCCTACAATTCTGTGATTCTGTGATTCAGAGAGCTGAAAGCTCCCATACATATCTATATCTCGGAGAGGAAGAGCAAAGCAAACCCTGGGAATAGGTGGAGTGGACACTTCTGCTTCCTAGCAAACAACTCAACAACAAGGAGATACTCAGCATATGCTGGGATCCAGAATGACCTAGCAGGCAACTCTCGCAGTCCCTGATAAGCCATTGCTATTACTGTGAACAGCCACACAAGATAGCAGAACTCACTCTACTGAAGCTTTTTCTGGACTCACATACAGCCTGTGGACCTCAGGTTGTCCCAAAATACATAAAATTGATCCCATGCTCCAGAAGAGATTTCTATCTCTAAGCTAGCTAGATCTTTGACTACGACAGAATTACATATAGGAATGAAAAATGTGAAGACTTCAGTCTAGCCTCGATACAAGCCTGAGCAGCTTAATCCATCCCACTTTGAAGCTGGCCCTGCTTTAAGCAGAGGCTGGACCAGATGATTTCCAGAGGTCCCTTCCTAAATTACCCATGGTCTGCTAATCTAAGTAAGTAATCAATGTCTTCTTCTACATAAAAAGTCTTGATCTCATACATCCTACTTAGAATCTTACATATATCCTACTTGGGACCCATTCTTAAGCAGCTCTTCCTAGCAATGACAAAGAGATGGATAATGCAGCACACTGTGCTCCAGAGTTCCTAGCTGCTATAACCTTTCCCTACAGGTTGTGAAAAGCAGAGCTACACCATCTCTGAAACCTCTTTAAATGACACTTGCTGGAAATGGAGCATCAGGAGAAGTTGTCCAGAGAGGTGGTGGATGCCCCGTTCCTGGAGACATCCAAGGTCAGGCTGGATGGGACTATGAGCACATGAGGGGGGTTGGACCAGATGGTCTTCAGAGGACTCTTTCAACTGAAATGATTTTATGATTCTACCACTCTATGAACAGACACGGTTTTGTGCTTCCAACCTGTCGGCCTGCATCTAATACCAACCAGGTAGATGCCTCTTTTTGCCTCTGCAAACTTGCTCTGTAGATGAATGGAAAGTCAGCAGGATGGATGGAAATATTTGTACTATTCATGCAGCCTGTAGAGCTCTAAATTAACTTTATCAGCTCAGGACAAAAGATCTGGAGAACACTGTAAGCAAACATCTGCTCAATATACATTCACGGTTAAAAAGTAAACAGTGTGTTCAGCTCCATAAGGAGCAGGTTGAAAATTATCACAGAGTACAACATATCACATAAATTGATGGCATGGCCTAGAATACTCTGTAAAGTAATGATCACACCAGCACAAAAACAGCTCTCAAGCATCAGAATGGCTTGAATGATGGCAGATAAGAATATAAACATGGAATAACATTCACGAGGAGAGACTGAAAAGTCCAGGATACTGTAAGTGTTTGACAAACGTTTACACAATAATGAATGATATGGAAAAGATGGAGTGAGAGCTTCTGCTTGCAGGCAAACAGCTCTAGAACAAGGAGACACTCAATGCAGGTGAAGGTGTGGAGCTTGGGAAGGCAAAGCCTGGAATGCCATCTGCAAACATACACTTGCCTTGCTGCAGAAAGCCAAGAAAAGTCAAGGACAGAGGTCTCCCAGGGCCTGAATATCTGTTATGTAGCATTTCCCTACAGAGAAATGCATTTTTGTAGAGTTCTGCTGGGTAGTGGGGAAGTGCAAAGGCAGATTCATCATTTCTGGCTCTTACATGGCCTGTGCAAGAACTATGAAGAACTTATGCTCCATGCAACAGGGTCAGCCCACACTAACCTCACTGATCTGGCTGAGGGCAGCTGCGTGCAGGCGCAACAAGTTGCTGGGGATGCCTTTTGCCACCTAACTGTGCCCAGATATCAGAGCTGGACCAGAAAGGAACTTCTATCTGTTTGCCTGAAAGATTGAAGTAAATGCTTTATGTCAATTGGAGCAAAAAGAGAAGGATGAAAAAAAAGACAAAAGAAAAAAGGAGAAAGGTTTGTTAGAACTGCCCTAATCAGGCAAATCTTGAGACTGGAACAATTCAGATGTCTAAGGTCTAACTGGGCTCTTAATTTGATTTTACAGCAGTTTGATCCCTTTGAATTCAACATGGTTCTTTATCTTCTACAGTGGTGTAAAAAGAAAAAAAAAAAATCACACCATGTGTCTTTTCATAAGCAGGTGAGCTTCTGTAGTGTGATGGAAATGAGAAGATGAATGTCAGAAAGTGGGCCAAATTCTTTTCTCTGTTAAACAAGCATGAGTGAGAGTAGAATTTTTCTGCAGGAACTGAAGCTGACAGCATGTCAACCAGCACTCATTCAGCTGGGAGGGCTGGGAGAGATTATTTAAAGTTGTCAGCTCCTTCCATGCCTGGCTTTTGGCAACTCTTCTTGTCCCTTTCCACTGTATAATCTTTATACATGCTGTTTTAAATTAAGAAACTGAAGTGAGGGAACTGAAAGGTAAACTTCAAGAAAATAATGCAGAAACAAATGCTTTGCCCTATATATATATATATATATATATATGTATGTATTCTTTTTTTTTTTTCAAGGGAGCTTGCAAATACTGAGAGGTCTTGTGGCGTGCTCCAATGGAAACTGATGCCCTGTTGTTCATATTGGCTTCACTTTGGCACTTAATTTAGCAACCATGCACACCGAGAACCAAAGAGGAACTTTTGATTCCCTAAAACTGGAACAAATAATTGATAACAAACGCGGTTCGGTTTCCACGAATCTCGATCTTCTCTTAACGACTGGTAGAAGGCAGTGTGGAAATGCAAATGAACCAGCCCTGGCGCTGTGAGAATACCCAGGGTAAGCAATGTGTCATTTGGAAAGCCTTTCGTAGGTGCTTACATTATGGACATTTTTAAAAGTCTGCCAGCATGAATGGAATTAAGCTATTACAGTTTAATACGTGGGTCTGTGCACTGTCACAGGGATATTCACCGTGTCTGGCTCCCTAACCTGGCTTCCCCGCTGCCATTCATCTTCTTTTTGCCCCAAACTTTGCTGCACAAGCACTGAGGACAACCGGGGGAATAACTGCCTGTTTAATGAGACCGCTGTCTAATTATTATGGATATCCTCAGTAATAAAACAACAACAGTATGTAAAAAGATAACTCAAAGTACTTCTGATGATGATTGCTTTCTGATCTATAAAGCAGAATCTCCAAGCAATAAAGAACAGCATTATTTGCTTTTTTGTCAAGACTGCACAGCTACTGTATGGACTTAGGCAGGAAGGTTTCTGGAAGAGAAGCAGCCAGTGTGCAAATTTTGCAGTATAGTATAAAACATTATGCCAATCTGAAGAAAGTGGAAGTGATTTCATGATTTCACTCTCTCCAGCTTCCTTAAAAGAAGCATAATTCCACCTCTAATTCCATTAGCAGCACGTACCTAAGCTAGCACTTCTCTAGGTTTCAGGGACAGTTTCAGGGCAAAATACAGACTTAGTGTACGTGGGTGTAGGTACAAAAGACAACTCTAACAGCATTCTCAGAGCTGATCCAAAGCCTATTAAAGACAACAGGATCCCTCCCCTGGTGTTCACAGGTATTGGATTAGTCCCTTGACTCAATTTAAAACGATCCCCATTCAATGCAGTTGCTACCTGTTGCACCCAGGGAACGATGGAGCACAAGTCTGCCTACAAGGGACAGAATTGGCACCCATGGGATAATTCTTCCATGGACAACCTGCCTGCCAACAATTCCAAGGAACGTTTGTTGGCTTTTATTTTTGAAGAGCATCCTTAAAGCAGATTAGTTCTTTTGCTCATGGGACACACGTGCACACCAATCCCCGCACCACATTTGGAACCCATCCTATTTAATATCAGTATTTGTGCTGCTGCTATTCCCATTTTTGGTGTGCCAGCTTTGGTTTTCTTTAGGAGCTGGGGCTGAACACGTGCAGAGAAGACCCAAAACTATTTGTTGGACTGGAAGCACAGGAAAATGTCAAGGCAGACGTTTAAGGACTGTTTACCCTTTGAAGCCACCATGTATAACTACACAACACTACTGACTCCAGAAGTAATGCTGAGCACTGGAAGTGTTCAGTCAGCATTTTAAACTATTATGAGCTACCTTCTGAACCATTGCCAAGTTAATAGACAATGAAAGATAATGAGCTTGAAATTGGGTGTTAAATTGCATTTTTGGTTCTCTCCTTTTTTTCTTGAAGTTTAACTGTTTCCTGCAGAAACGACATCATCTTTGATGTATCATTATGTAAATGTCTATTTTTAGGTCACATAAGGAGTCAAACTGGGGCTAAACTCTCACTCCTGCACCATGTGTGTGCAGAAGGGTGGGGAGGCAGACGAGACACAGCAAGACCACAGCTTCTGGTCCTCAGAGGAACGCAGAGAGGTGAGGTGTGCTGGCAGCATGGGGAAGGAGATGACTCGACTTGCTCAGTAACAGCATGCTGGGTGGCTACAGTGCTGCAGAAGAGTGTGTGCTTTTGCACTGCACAGGCAACCCATGAGCTCCCTTGAAGGACTGAATGCAGATTGTTACAGATTCTACCTGAAGCACCTTTGTCACAAAAAGGTGACTTACATCTGCCCCGATCACAGCATGTCCAGCATTTACAGCTGCAACTAAGCAGAAAATGCTGCAAGCTTACATATTAGCATGCAGACAATAGCAGCTGTTTTCTAACAGCAGCATAGTGTAACAATATGTTTTTACTGAAATAATGTACAATTTAGTGCTCTATGTAATCCACACCTTAAAGCTGGGAAAGTCAGTCTGGCATGGAACACTCGATCAAAAATGGAACAGAACATCTACCACTGAACACGTATTTTCTCCAGATAAGTAAAGGCAAAGGGCAGGACACAATAAACACCAGGACATCACAGTACTAATAAGCATTTACGCTCAACATATATAAAAAAAAAAAAAAAAGAGCTAAAATAATCACAGTCATTAAAGAGTTCTGGTATTTCCAGAAAGGCAGAGAAACCTTACCTGATACCCAGCACCTGCACGTTTTGAGGACTGAAGATTAAATTAGGATAGGAAGGTAGGTTTATCCTCATTAGTATAATTGTAGGATCTTTCTTTTATTTTCCTTTTAGACTAATGAGTTACATTAATCCAGGTTCATTTTTATAAGCCTCTTGGGTCCCAATGTAAAGGACAGTCATTTTAGAAAACAATAAATTAAAAAAAAAAAAAAGAAAAAAAAAGCATGTAGCATGCATTAAGTGCACGTATTTCATAAGACCTAGGTTAATACAACCGGCATCTAGTTTAATTAATCCTTGTTAGTGTAACGACTAATATCCCTCCCTAGCATGTTTCCTTTAAACATTAGTATGTTAATTAAATGTTGTTGTTTTAAGGGTTTTTTCTTTGCCTTTGTACTTCAATATGGCATTATATCATGTAAAACTCTTCCCAACAACTACCTTATAGAGATGTTTCCTTACAATATCAGGTCTCTTGCAGAAATTCTGAAGCCTTTTAAAAAGCTGTTCAGGTGTAGAATACAGATATTCAGCTGCAGGAAAAACAGATACATTTTTAATGAAACAAAAACCTCAAAGCACACACTCGATATTAGTCACTTTACTAATTAAAAATGCATATTGCTCTGTGCCGCCTCGTGTTTTACATTATTTAAGCATGATTTTATAAGGTTACCTCAGCTCACAAGGATGTTTAATGCTAAATAAGACTGTGTAGTTGTGCTGTTTAGACATCTCCTTTGGGTGATTAAAATACATTATTCTAATGTAACACAATGCATATGTGATACATTTAGTGATGAGATTTTTCAAAGAACTGGTACTACATCAGTGTGTATCCCATATCACAGTTGCATACTATTAAGTATTAAATTGTTTAAATAATTTGGTGTGATTTTCAGGCCTCCTTTTTCTTTCTTCCTTTTTTTTTTTTTTTCTCTATCTCAAAAAAAAATCTGCAAACCATTGCAGCGTCGCTGACCTTCTAACAAAAATCTATCATTATGGGTTGTGTATGCTAACAATGAAGAATGCTATTTCAAAACTTGCTTTTGTGTTATCTTAAAAGAACAGATGGCAAATATAAACTTCTTCTAATGTATTAAAACACATAAAATTCTCCTTAACACTAACATGTCGGCTTGCCAAATAAACAATTGCTTTTGCTCGAGTTTATACTCAAACTTTACATTTTAGCACGCATCACGCATCGCCTTTCAACCAGAAGTGTGTGCAGCAAAGCAGCTACCTGGGAAGATCTCCGGGTACACCAAGGCCTTGGGACACAACGGGTAACAGCCGCAATGCACTGCTTCCACCCTGAAGGTTAAAAGCAATCAGAAGATGAGCACGACATCAGGGAGCCAAAAACTTCCTTTGGTGCAGGACCACAGAGGTTGACTGCACGCAGCACGAGCAAAACATTTTCCTGCTCAGCAGCACAATCCTTCTAAATGCCAAAGTTGCTCTTTTGAAAGAAAATTTTATTGATCATATGAATTACATAGAACAGAACAGTGAGCATATGTTTTGTTCGCTGAATAAATCAAAGCGCAGCTCTGCATTTTTTTGTTTTTTAAATACTGCTTAACACATTTTATAATCAGCAGACAGACACATGTAACAACATGGTGAAGTATGGACGGCTTCTCTTAATAATGCTGCAGAGAAACGAGGGCATACGTGCACGTGTCTATGGGTGTAGCCACAGAGATGCTCCTGTTGCACACTCGGACTCCAAAGGCTGCAATGAAATGGCCCCAGGAACAACACGCAGCACGCTTTGGGCTGAGATATTCCAGTGCTAGCATGAGCTTCAGATCACTCCCTTTCTTTATCAGGACGCAAACTCTTTGTAATAAATACCAAAGTCCTCCTGGTGATGCTTTGAGGGTTTGTTTTTTTCTAGGGCTGGTTTATGTATCTGCCATAACATGGAGCCCAAATATTTTGGAACTGCGACACAATGGCACAAAAGTTTCCTAGCAGTGACTCTAAGAAAAGCAATCCCATTCCTGCCTGCATTTTAATAGCAGAACGGGTTAAGGCATCAAGTTTGCAGTTTATTTTTTTGTTTTTGCAGAATGACCACTGATGTGACATAATGTCCCCCTAAAGATACAACCGTAATTTCTGTTGGCCAGAAATTACACACCGAAATTCAAAACACTTCTTTAAATATGTTTATTTGATGAGAGGCTTTGAATTTCCTCCAACATGCTGACCATACGAGGACTTTATTTTTAGCTTCACTTTCCCTCGGTTTCCCAAGCTCTGAAATTCTGTCAGAGTTCACCTTTCATTCTCAGGAACAACCCAAAAAGCTTTTGCTACATTCATGGGCACGTTGGCTTTATTACAGGCATTCAGGCCAGTGCAGACCAAACCCTTCTTCCTTTAGCTTGAATCCATTTTAAGGAGCCAAAAAATTAAATAAGGAATATCACAACCAGCCCTGATGCTAGAAAACTACGCATATCCACAGAACCCAAAGATATATCCCCCTGCAAATGCTTTTGCTAAGCAATGATTGCTAGTTTTTACATAAACTTTTAAATTTTGTAATTTATGTGGCTTTTTTTTTTAAATAACATATGCACTTCAGATTGCATTTTAAACATTAACAACAATTTCAAAGTGTACATCGTCTAGCACTATATTTTTTTTTTTTTTTTTACCAAACGGAAATGTTTCTGATGTGTGATTTAATTGATGATTTCAGTTCTTAAATATTGTGTCATATGTCAAAGCAAATAGATTTTTAAAGTTTTCTTTAATCTAGGGGGAAAAAAAAAAAAAAAAAGAGCGAAAATGTGGACATTTCGGTAATAGCTCAGATCACTAAGTTATGTTAAAATATTTGCTTTTTAATCGTATTGCCTGCACGAAAAAAAAGAGCAGCTCCCTCCAACAAAACTGCAGGCCAAGATGCAGCCTGAGTCATCGCTTGTGCACACAGCTTCCCCGTACGAGAAACCTCCATCAGGATCACAAGTCAGGCAGATCCGAACTCAGTGCCTCTGGAGCACACCGACTACGAGTTAAACTCTGTGATTCTTTCCTTTCCAGCTCATCCTATCTGCACTGCCCACATTTCCACACCCAAGTCTGCACGCGTTCCCTGACAGCTCGCCCTGCGGTGCAATAATTCCTTCTGTGAGCACCCCCTTATTGCCCAGACCTAAGGATGTCATGGGAGCAGAAGCAGGCTGAGGCTGAGCAGGGGCTGGGAAGCTTCCTTGCCTCCACACCTCCCTGCCTCGTTCCTGAGAAGCATCACATCTCAACAATCACACAACGCTTCTTCATTTCAATCCTTAAGCGCTCCTAGTTAAATCATAAACAGAGTTCCAATTGATCTATTGTTAAAATGGCTAGTAAATGACCTTTTTATTCCAATTAACAAATCATCTGCTAAATCTATGAATCTTAATATTCAGATCTATTCACTTCAATTCATATAATTTATCTGCAAATAGTTGTTGGGCTTTTGATTCTAAATATAATTAGCTGATAATTTTGCTTGGCTGAATTACTTTTCTGGAGGGCCTGCTAAGGCTCTCAGCCGCATTATCTAGCAATAATGAATCTGATAGGTGAAATTTTTTACTGTAATGAGGATGAGACACAGTTGTGACACCTGAGTCTAGTAATAACAGAAGACTGCTAATTATCGACAGCACTTTTTTGTGTGATGCACAGAGAAAAAAAAATCCCTCATTATTAAAAAATAAAAAGTTACAATTATAAGTGACACCGGAGGAGAGTAAATAAAATGGAGTGATTAAAACATTGCTGCTTTAAGGGTGTTTTTAATTAAGTGGAAATGCTAATGTTGTCATACTTAGCAGATGGGATTAAAATTAGTTATTGTAAGTAACTCATATTTTATGTTATGGTTTCCACAGCATGTCTACAAGATCTAAGAAAGTGATACATTCCATAAGACATTTAAAAAATGAAATTCTCATAGTCTTTACAGCTCATAATAATGAACATAATGAATAAACTATCAAAAAAATATCCTGCCAAGCATTTTACCATAGTGACTTAACTAGCATGGAATGTAACCATAATGTACTGGGCTGCTGGAGTCACACTGCTGGTCTGCCTTTGTCTTTTGCTGATTGTTGCAGTTCTGATTTCCTTCACACTCGACAATAACAGAAGTTTGGTGTTTGGGCAGGCATCCAGCATCAAGTGTGGTGTCAAGAAGGTACAGCTTTGGAGCAAGGAGAGATGATGACCACCCACCAAGGTGATGTTCTAAACGAAAGCACAGGATGCATCGTGTAACTGCAGATAAAAACCTAATTGCACACTTTCTCCTACTTTATTTGTGTAAAATTTTCCATCTGCTACATCTAAAGATGTCTAAACTGTTAGTATCAAACCTGCATTCAGCTGCCAGCTGTGCACATTAAGGATTGCAAAACACTAAGTAAATGAGGCAGCATAAAACCGAGTAGTACTGGTCCATCTGCCCAGTGCTAGTAGGGACCCCCATACCTGGTCCTTTTAAAGCACCACACTGCTGCTCAAATTGATAAGGAAAATACTTAATAACATGCTTTAAGAGTCTTGGTTTAGAAAGCTCAATTTGCATTCGCTATCATGACTTCTAAGTATTGGAATCTGCCTACTACTAGTACAAGTTAATGCTTTTCATCTCTCTTTCAAATGCTCTTTGAAGAACTTTTAATGAATGAAAATTAACATCTATAATTTATAGTATTTGCTGTCAAATTTCTAAACAATTCATGGCAACATTCTGCAGATAAGTTCTAAATAGTATTTTTGAAAATCGCTTCTGCTGCGCATACTTTACCATTTGTTTGGGGAGCCGTGGTCTTTATTAGCA